GAAAGTCAAATCGATCTTGCTCAGACCCAGAAACCTCTCTCCCGCGGCCATAATCTACATCCTCTTCTCGCTCATGTGGCCAAGTTATCGATGCCAAGTCATGCAGTCGACGTATGATGATGATACTTATCCTATGACAAGCAAGCGATCGATCTTCCTATTAGCAATGTAGAGAGACCCCTCGCGTTTGTCGTGTGCCACCACCAGGACACCCTTGGACACCTTCCAGCTTCTCTGCTCGAAGGATATTTTATAACCGGAGTCAGTCAGTTGCCCGACAGATATAAGATTCCGGTACATGCCAAATATCGTTCAGCGTCAAGGTGGTCCCACCCTCCATCTTGAGGGTATAATTTTTCTTCCCGAAAACCTTAAGGTTGATCATCATCAAGATAGACTATCCCTAAGTCCTTCACGAACGATGAAAATAGTTTTTGTTATGAGGTTGCATGGAAAGGTGCACCAGAGTCGATGACCCACGCATCGCTTTTGTATTCTAGGGATAGGAGAAGCGCATCTGAATCCGTCTCGTGCATGAGATTGACTACACCGTCGGCCCGATCATCTCCTGCTAATGCTGGAACAAAAACTCTACAGTCCCGTGCAAAGTGATCCTTTTTCCGCATCTGAAGCACTTCCCTTCACCGTAACTATTCGGGTTTGACCCTTTAGACTTCCCTCTGGATTTTGATTGGCCTAATTGTCTCCTACCCTTCTTCTACGCATGTCCTCGTACCTCGGCATGTAGAGCACTCCCACTGCTAGAGGCCTCAGCTCCTGAGACTTTACGATAAGATTCTTCATCCAGAATTGCTTCAATAACTATGTCGAGATTCATCTTATCATTGTCATTAGCGTTGCTCACCGCCATCATCATATTCTCCTATAAATCTGGTAGACAAGAAAATAACAGAAGAACTTAGATCTCATTGTCGAATTTGAGATCTACTGCAGCAAGCTGTTGCACCATAGCCTGAAATTCGTTCAAAAAGTCCGCCACGCGAGCTCCTTGCTGCATCTTTAGATTGAACAGCTTTTTTATCAGGTACACCTTATTTGAAGCAGACGATTTCTCATACAACGCCTCTAAGACCTCCATCAACTCATTGGTGGTGGTCGCATGGGAGACGTTGTAAGTCACATGCTGGTGAAGATTGAGCCTGATGGCGATTAGTGGTTTACGATCGAGCACCTTCCACTTATCTATCGTCCATTTTCTCAGGTTTTTCCATCTCCTTGGAGGGGTAGGAAGAGATCCTTCTGATACAAATAGTCTTCTATTTGCATCCTCCAATACCTAAAATTTTGACCATAAAATTTCTCAATTCGAAGCTTGTTGTCTTCAACTGTAGATCCCATGGCGAAAGATTAGGTATTTACCGAACTGTATTTGTGAATAGTAATAATACTTGTAAATAGTACCATACTGGTGAATAATATCGTATTCGTGAATAGTGTCAAGTGTCTTAAAAGAATAAATAATAATCTAACTTATTTTCTGATGTGAATGATCCATTTTTAGTGACAACCACAGAACATACGATAAGCAAATATATATACTCTAAGTCAGGCTCTGATACCAGTTGTTAAGATACACACCAATAAGAATGCCTCGAACGGAGACGCAATACACAGAATAAAGGCACAAAATCAATCACAGTACTCACAGATATACGTAGTTCACTCCTTCGGAGCTACTTCACGGTGCAACGACGACGCCCAGTTCTTTTATATTCCAAAAGAATTGGATCAAAGAGAACACTCTCTCTTGATCAAGATACACTCCAAGAACTCTCAAAAACTCTCTATGTTTTCTCTCTTACACAGAACAAAGGTACAAAATCAATCACAGTACTCACAGATATACGTGGTTCACTCCTTCAGAGCTACTCCACGGTGCAACGACGACGCCCAGTTCTTTTATATTCCAGATATACGTGGTTCACTCCTTCAGAGCTACTCCACGGTGCAACGACGACGCCCAGTTCTTTTATATTCCAAAAGAATTGGATCAAAGAGAACACTCTCTCTTGATCAAGATACACTCCAAGAACTCTCAAAAACTCTCTATGTTTTCTCTCTTACACAGAACAAAGGTACAAAATCAATCACAGTACTCACAGATATACGTGGTTCACTCCTTCAGAGCTACTCCACGGTGCAACGACGACGCCCAGTTCTTTTATATTCCAAAAGAATTGGATCAAAGAGAACACTCTCTCTTGATTAAGATACACTCCAAGAACTCTAAAAAATTCTCTATGTTTTCTCTTACTCTTCTATGAGAGTTATTTCTGGGATGAATTTTCTTGAAGAGTTTAGGCCCTATTTATAGTGTTTGGGAAATACTATGCACAAATAAAATATTATTAGTAGGATCCGTCACTTAATAATAATTTATTGTGGGACTCACATCCTTTTTTTCTCAACAAAAACGGCCACCGATTCTCTCTTTGTCAAATAAAGTGGCTGGGGTTGGCTGGGGCGGCTGACATTCAAAACTTATAGGTCTGACTTCCTCTCTTAATAAAAGTACATGTAGGAAAAACAATAGGTTTAGTTCATCAATGGAACTTACTGGACTATGTTCAATATTATATTTAGACTTAGTTATCCAATAATACGAATAAATACTAATTCATCAATTTGCAGGTTGAATACTAATAAACCAAAATGTTTGGATTTTTCCCCACTTTACCATGTATACAGGAACGGGATTTTAGGTTTATTTATGCCTCAGAGAAGAATATGCATTCCGAGTAAAGTCTGTCATCTTTCGCCTATCTCCAGACCCTTTCCCAGTCTAGAAAATCTGGACACTGTTTCATGGTTTCATGACCTTGAACTGCACAGCTGCAAAAGCTAGCAAACCTAGCAGCTAACTGGCCTTGAAGGTTTTAGGGCAATCGCACTGGTCATAGTCATCTTAGGCAGGAATCTAACACCAACCACAATGACGTGAAGTCACTATCATAGAACTTGCCCAAATTCCAAGTGGAGCTCTCTCAGCGCTGAAATATGCTCCATACCAAAACCTTATTTTGATGGGGAAACTATAGGGGCTCACACCTCTGAGGGTTATTGTTTGTTTTGAAGAGAGCTCAGACCTCTGATGGTAAAAGCTATGATGGTTTTCCTTCCCTTATAGCAGCAATGGATCTTATGAATTTTTTTAAAACCCTTCATAAATGTTCTGACAAGGTAAAGGTAGAAAGATTCTATATTCAGTTGAATGTTTAAAGCTTTGTGATGAAATAGACTACGCTACATGTGAGCACCACATAGGGATTCTAAAGATTACTGACAATGTTACAACTATTTAAAAGGCAGATTATAAACTATGTATGAGAGTACACAATTAGAAAGAACTTTAGAGACCATTACTTACCTGTAACCTAAGTTGCATGGGTACAGGTACGGGTATGGGTGATGGTAAGGATACAACAATTTTGTAAAAGGTAGAGTACGGGGACAAGGATACACACATGCATACATATTAAAATTAATAATTTACATAAGTTTTTTTTCATTTACATGAGATTTAATATGTGAAATCCAGAATATATGTCCAAGAAGTGCATGAGAAGTGTTTTGAATTGAAACATGTATTATATAATTGAGTATATGCTTCAATAAACATATGCATATATTCAAGAAGTTTCCAAGAAGTATGGGTATGGGTACGTGTCAGGTACGGGTACGACTTCCAAATAGAAGTACCTAGGTAACATAGTCTATAACAAACAAAATTTAAAAAAGAGGGTATGGTCACATATTTTGCCCACTGAAACGATAAGAAGAAATGAGAACTTACTAAAGGTTAAATAACAACAATATAATAAAAGAAAAACACTAGTGCCAGTTTGACAATCCGATTTCTAGAAAATATCTGGTTCTATTCCAAACCAGATATTAGTTAAAATTTTCGGCTTTCTCATTTTATTCAATTGCTGATAGTTAAAATTTAGCATAGTTGTAACAACTCGGAATTTTAACAAAAATATAAGTTTTTATTCTAACTTAAAGAAAAATAAAAAAATTGAAAGTTTACTCAATCCTTTAATATTTATCTGAAGAGAAATCCATGGCCACCGTTGATATGGAAAATAACTCAGTCCAAAAAGAAACCATCGTAAGTTTTTATAACTTCACTTCTTCCTGTTCCATGACTTTCTCCACATCTTAAAGTTATTCCCATGATCTGGCAGAGCTAGTAGCTAAGATGGGAGCCCCCATCTGAAATTGGTCAACACTAGCAATTTGGATCAATAATCATGACCATAGACTTCTTAGTTTCCTAGATACAACCCTTCCAAAGCATGAATGTGTCTCATTAATTTCCTCTCTATAAATGAAACCAATGGTAAAGGCAAAAAGAGAACATATGCAACAAAAACAACGACGACAACAACAACAACAAAAATCAAATATGAGTGAAAAGGTATCATAAAAAATATATTTCAAATACTACATTTGTGTGCGTGCATGAATGCGCATGTACTTGTGCGTGTATGTTGCATTTCTTAAGAAGAGGAAAATGGTAAATACAAGAGTCGGTTAACAAGGAGAATACATCTTGGTTAGCTTATCTAATTAGATTAATAAACATGTAGTTACAATTGTAAACAACTCTTTCACTGTCCTATAAAATTCACTCTACCCACTACGTAAAGTACTTCATTCCAACAAAATGTCCCATGAAGACTACCTCACCACAATACTTGAGCAGTAATGCTTTATATGCCCAATTCCATTCTGTATACTGAAATAAGCATTTGTTGTGACCTTGTATTATTCAAAAGCATTGACAAATCAACCCTCAGCATCTGCCGAAAATCACATAAGGTTGATTACAACACAAGTAAAGTTCTTCATACAAGTAAATAGTTTGAATTTCAGAATATAACACATAGAAGCTGAAACTAAAAGGTCAAGTAAATAACAGCAGGTAAAGAATGAATAGCATGAAAAAGTCTGAGCTATGGAGTATAAGCACTTACATAACCAAGAAATGCTGATATGACCAAGAAAATGAAACCCATTAGTGTGATCTGCAAATGTTAGTAACAACATCACTGACCCTTGAGAAAAAACAACGCGGATCTGACAGAAAGGAAGAAGAAAAAAACAAAACAGAAATTTCTTACCATATTTGGACTGAAGGTTATGCCCAGCATTCGGCAAGAAATCCATCAAAAGAAAAAACAAGAATATCAGAGACTTCAATAGAGAAGCAGCTGTAAAGCAATATACCGCTATCCCAATTTACACATAATTCTAAGCATAGTTAAATACTAAATGGGAATTATGTTTGAAAAGCATTCCCAAAGGTCAAGAAAGAGTATCCAGAGTTCATACACAAAAAAATCAGGTTACTGAATTGAGTAATTGTGCAAAATACTGTGGACCTATCCTCCCGTTTTCTCCATTCCTTCTCTGTATTTATGAATAAATTCTAGCACAGTTTGATGTTGAATACGCACGTTTATTCTATCAAACATATCACAGTGCAAATCCAGCATGCTGGTAGTTAAAGTTTGTAACGGTAAACTTTCAGCATGACATCAAAATAAACAATGGTGCTCAGCTCAGTATTGGCTTAAACTACCTAATCAAGATTTTTGGCCAGAAGGAAAAACTCCAAAGACTGTTAGTAACATTAAGTTGTGCTTCAACACCGCAACTATACAAGCATTCAAAACACAGCCACTAAATAAATTTTTTTAAAACTAAGGTCTCAAAAATCACGTTAAGCTTCTCCGGTCTCAAAATCACATTAAGCTTCTCCGCAAAGATTTCAGTAATAAAAAATCATTCAGACTTCAAAAACCAATGCCTCTTGTCATGGTTTTATGAGATTCTCACACTCTTAAGAGTCCAGATCCTAAAAAATATCAGACTGCCATATTCCTATCCCACGCCAATCACTTGTTACAACACTACATCAGACAGATACATCCAGACGGCAATATAACACCAAATTTGCAGTCAAAAAAGAGGGGTATTTTCATTTTTTCCAAGGAACCACCTGACCCACCCCCAGCTTAGGCCCTATTTCACATTACAACCCTTAATAACCCGAGTTTCTTAATTACCCGAGTTTAAGAAAACTTACATGGATAATATATGTTAACAGAACAATGGATAATATATGTTAACGGTCAAAGTTAGGGGAGCTCCTCTAAAATAAACCCAGAAAAGGGGTCACTGAAGCTTTTCAGCATTCGAGATTGAAGCTTCCCTTCCCAACTAAAATTTTTCAGTTAAAAACTCATCATTATCATGCAAGCGAGCGAAACAACCGAAATGAAATTATTATTTAACCAGATCAGGCATGGTCTTCACATGTTTTAATGTCTTGGGTTTTGTGTTTTGGGGGCTCAGAGAACAGATTTTTTATTTTTAGGGGTAAAACGCCCATTGACCAAGTCTTGGGGGTGGGAAGCATAGTCACTTGGCTTTTGGGGGCTGGAAGCATTTTTCCCTTTTTATTTTTGTTGATTTCTTTACCCGACTTCTTCATGAATCCTTGGGCTTTCTTAGGCCTTCTTTTGTCTTCATATTTGGGCTTCAATAAATGATAGAAAATCAGTGAATTTAATTCTTTTGGGCTTTTATTCATTAATCCTTATTAACTTGTAATTAAGATAAAAATGTCATTAGTGACATATTTATTTAAATAAGATAGATAATATGAATATAAAAATGTATAAAAATGTGATTATCAGCTCACCTCCTCATGACCAAAGAGCCAGAGTGCTCTCCTCAAGTACGCCCCAATCCTTTGTCCCTTGCTTGCTAATAAAATAACTGCAGTAGAAGCCAGCATTATGAAAAACCTAAAACCTCTCTTGATGAAGACCCCTTCTCCAGCTGCATCTATGTCTTTCTTTCTCCACTCTCCATCATCATTCATTTGTTTTCCGCAGGAACACCTGACATTAGGAACGGAGTGATAGTAACAGATGGATTTGCAGCAGCAATCTGTTGCAGGACATGTGAAGAAAGTCCGTGGCTTTGTATCGTCAATTTTAAGTGCTAAATTCTCGCAGAGGCGTTCAGCTGCATTCAGCGGATTAAGCAGCATGTTCTTGCAGGCCTCAGTCTGAAAGTGCTGGCTCTCGAGACTCTCCGCACTCTTGTACAAGTTAGCAATGCATGCTAACACTGAATCTTGACAATGGTTCCTGTCAGCACAGTGAGGAAGCTCAGAAGGACGTCGACAAAACCGGCCTTGTCTGGTTCAGAAGCACTACTCGTTGGCATTGTGAGTAAAGTATGGCCCACGATGTAGCACAGGATTCTAAGCATTGAAACACTCTTTTGAGAAATACATAATCCATGAACGTTTCAGAATGAACTAATGAGTCCTTCACTTAACTTTAGTTGGTTCTAGGCTATGTATTTGAGGGGGGCTTGTGGTTCCGCATTTTGAATTAGGCTAACTACAGATCCACTCTCGGTACTACAGAGGGTTCGACCATTTATGGTTCCTGAATTATTTAGTTTACACTAGAATAGGGATTAGGGTTTGAGAGGACCGTGGACGAAAGGCGAGGACTTTCGATTTCTTCGCTCTTCTCTCTTCCCTGCTTCGCTTTCGCTAACGAGAGGGGGGCGTGAGAGAGAGAGAGAGAGGGGGAAGGGACGAAGGGAAATGAGGGGGATGGGAGGGGGGTGGTCCCCACTGGAGGGAGGAATTTGACTCGTGTCGGGTACGAGTTGGGTCGGATCTAAAAATGTCCTTTTGGGTTCTTTTTCATACATTATTAGTCTCTCGTTCGGCAATTCCATATTAGTCCCTCGATTCCTTGAAGTTTCTCCTCGGCGCCTCAAATCTTAAAGGTGCCTTGCAAATTGATCCCTAAACAGTAAACACCGATGCGTTCAGAAAAGCATGGCTCAAGAAGCATTTTGGAGGGCGTTTGGGAAGGCTTGTTTTTTGAAGCTTATTAGTTATACTGGCTTTTAATGGCTTTTGGATTTTTTTAATAAAAATACCATAAAAATTGTTCGAGTAGAATAGTAATTTGTCCAGTCAAACCTAGCTTTCTTAAGTGAGCTTATAAGCTAGTTTTTTTAAAAGCTGGGCTATACCAGCTTCTCAAAATGGGACTTATAGGCCAACCTATTTGATATTTTACCAAACAGATAGAAATAAAAAAGCTAGGTTAAAAGCTAGTTTCACCAAAAAATAAGCCTCCTTAAACACCCTCCAATTTGCAAGATCTCTTAGAATTTGTGGTGGGCTGATGAGCAATTTTCAAACTTTTGAGGCATTAATATGGAATTATTGAAGACATAAGGGACTGATATGTAAAAAAACTCATCTTCATTTGACACAACAATCCTAACTCCGCTATTATTGTGATAGCAGTCCCTCTTATCCTTGGAAGGCGACATTACCCTGGCAAGTTCCATATGTCAAACCACATTACTAGTTAATTGAGGATATTTAAGAGGTCCAATTCTTAACCTTAAAAGATTTAAGCTGTTTTTATTTTTTATTTTTAGAACTAAGTGGCACGTATCTTTGGTGTAAACAATCTTTTTTTTTTAGAAAAAGAATGGATTACCATAACAGTAATCCAGCCAGCTAAATTAACATAAACTGGTTGTTACATATAATGTGCACATCCCCAACCAAAAATGTGCATTCAGATCCCAACTAAAATTACAAAACAAACAAAAACACACTTTTGCACAAAGTATTAAATCTCCCAAAACACTTATCTACTGCTAAACTAAAATAGCAGTGAGTTCCATACTCAGCAAAAGTTTTAACATCAAAACATCATCTAAAACACTGCATCCAAAGATCATCATTACAGCTGAATCACAGAATTCCCAATGCTCCTGTTCTCTCTTCCTGCAACCCCAGCAATTTGTAAAGCTCTAGATAGCTCATTTCTCTTTCTTCTTCTCTCTTGAAGCATGGCCGCTCGAGCAGAGATATTCTTAGAACCTAGCCAAAAGGTTGAGAATGTCAAAATCTTACTCAGAAGCTCAAGAGACCTCTTCTTATTGTTAGAAAAGAGTCTATCGTTACGCTCATGTCATATGCACCAAATAAGATTGTAAACAATCTTTTAAAAACAATATCTCTTTTTATTATTTCTTTCGTGAATTTTATGCATACATTGACATCTAGGTGATGAAAGATGGTTTTCCTTTTTTTTTCCTTCCTTTGTTTGGCATAATTGAAGTTGTCATTTTAGTGTAAACGAATTAGTCATTTCAAAGAATCTTTTTTCTTTAATAAGCTGATTAAAGACACTTTAAGCCCATCAAAAAAGACACTTTAAGTAGAAAAATAAAGGAATAAAAGCAGAAAACATAAGAAAAAGTATACTATTATTCCTTCTCAAACGTTGATAATATTCTAATTAACCAAAGTTAATTTTATTGCGGGATATTATTCCGAGAATCCTTTTTTTAATAACGCTTGTTTATGGAGCAGGTGCAGCTCAGCGTCACCATTTAAGGGACGCGAACAATAACTAACAAACAAATGACATAGTTTGGTTGAGAAAGAATCAATAAACTTTAGTTATATTATTTTATTCTGGGCTAACTGCAAACATATACCCCTTGTAGTATTATCCATGTACTCTTTATAGTTTTACTAGTTGAATTGCACGTGCAATGCACATGGTAATTGTTTTTAATTTATTATTTTATTATTGATTCATTTCATTAAGATTAATTTAATTTAAACCATATATCAAACACATGTATAGAATTTAAAAATTCAAAAGGATTGAATATTGAAATTACATTTATGTATCAACCGGGTAATAATAGATTGTATGCATCCTTAACAATAGTAAATAATGAATGATTTTATTAAAGACTTTTATTTGATATACAACATTAAGTTTCAATCCACCAATACTACTTATATACAGATGACAATAGACGATCTATTTAATCATAATTATCCAATATAAATGCTACTAAAATAGTAGCATTGTTATTTTTCTTTACTCCTACTTATTTCTATCTCATCAAAACAATTAACAGTCATGCAACAATAGAGATATTATAAATATCTCTCTTTATCATTGGATATTTTGAGCTTTAATGGTTTCAAATTTCTTTATAGCGGTAAGCTACTTATACCTACTCATACATATTACGAGCGTAAGATTTTCTGATTACATGTCTATGAAATTTACTGAATCAAAGTAAA